AAAAAAAAAAAAAGAAAATAAAGTTAGCATTTTTTTTACCATTTTGTATCTATTGATATCTAAATAGATATCTGTATCCGGAAGCGCTCCTAAAAGACACACATAGGGCTTCAGGCCCATTATTAAGACATTCAAAAGCGAAACACAAAAACCAATCAAAAGTCCAACATCGACAGCAATAAGTATAACAGACAAAAACGTAACCGTCCAAACTGCGGCGTCCATCTTGTTAAGTTTTAAAAATTTAAAAAAATCTTTTACCAGAACGGTCAATATATAATTTAATAAAGTATTTGTTTATTATACGAAAACTGTCTTTCATTTCCACAAAAAAAAACCAAATGACTTTCCGAACAACCTTATAGTTGTAGGGAATTGCGTAGATTGGGCGAGGATGGAAAAAAGTGGAGATGCGTGTCCAATCAGTTTTAGGACTGACTATCTTATGATGATGATGATTTTATAATAATTAGAGAAAAAGTCTTACACTAAAGGATCAATATCAGCAAAACAGAGCTTGCTAAATATAGAAGAGGTGGAAATGAAGATGTAGGCATATGTAACTTTACCGGAAGACATCTTTAAATAAGAGGACTCTTTCAAATACTAACGAGTCATGGTCAGCTGTGAATGTTAAACAAAATTGAGAACAGAATAAACTTTGCCAGCAGAAGTGCAACAAGTTTTTAAAGTCATAATACAAATCTCACTATAGAAAGCTGAAAATCTACAAAACGTAATTCGGCCGATCTTTTTGGAGCTGAAATTTGAATTTTAGGCAGACACATAGAAAATTTATCACTTTCGAGAGCAAAATCTTACCAATAATTTTTGGACTAACTAAAAAAGTGGCACATCGAGGATTAAGACATACGAATAAGATAATAATAAGAAGCAGAAGTTTAATACAAGGTGGACTAATCAATACAAATACTTGATTAAAATGAAATTTACAGAAGAGCATTTGAAAGACAGAAGGCAGTAGAACAATGGAAGAAGAACAAGTACCACTTTAGATACCCATGATCAAGGAGATAGTTGTAGTAATAGAAGTAGTAGTGCTACAGTTTTTCAGGAATATACAGGTCGGACGAAGGAAGCTGGCGAGCGGTCGCGCAGGTACTTGCCCATTTATGACCTATTTGGGTAAGTCACTTGGAACCGATACACAAATAACCTTTCAGGAGGCGTAAATTATAGTATTAATACAGACAGGACAGTAGCGTACTAGAAAATAATGTAAAAACATGACTTATCAAAAAGAAAAAATTAACCTATTGCTTCTGTTTTATAGTTAGTTTTCACATTCACTCTCATCCTGAGAACCTCTATCACTGTCACCAACATCAACAATTAGTTCTTCTGTTTGTCTGTCTATTACTTGCTCACTGATCCCTATTTTTAAATATTTAATCTACGCCCCCGATAGAAATACTGAAGAATGAGGACTGCAATCGTTATACCTAAAACTGCCTACTTTTGCCACCGCGCATCCACGCCATTTTAAAATTTCCGCCAGCTTCCAGCGTCAGGCCTGTAGAAATATGTAAAAATAAAGGAATAAATTAAATTAAAATCCAGTTAAACCACAAAACACCCTAAGTGACATTGACAATTCAAATTTCAGTAAAAAACGTTTCAACTGGTGCCTAGGTGTATTTTATAAGAAAAATACAAACTTTAAAGAGAAAAATTGAAAAGCGACAATTGAGATGAAGCGTATTATAGGTAACTGTATACTACATACTTTTTATCGAAAATTGTAGTATCGAAGTATTTTTTATAAATATTAACATTAAAAATTCTTACCTATAACAAGAAAACAGCGTATTTTCGGCTGCCGTTTGATATTTAACATTATATTTAGGCCCTACGGTATGGATAACATAACGAGAAGGTAGTGAATGTCCTTGAGTAACTTTGACCTCTCCAGTCTTGCATTCTGAAAAAGAAATGTTTACATAAACCATATTCTTTTATATATACACATATATTATGATTAAACTTACCCTTTATATCCGAATTTATTTCTTCTTTAAGTTCAGAACCTGCTCTTTGAAAAATCCGGTTGCTTACAGGATTATCATCTGACAAGGACTCGTTTGTAGAGTTCACTATCGCATCGACTTGCAACTGTGATATATCTCCGTTCCTGCAAAATAAATTTCATAAAAATCTTTTTAAACCAGACCAGACAAAAGAAGGTAGTTCAAAGGCATAAATGTCCTTCTTTTCTAAAACTTTAAAAGACAAGGATATCCTCGAACTTTTATCCTTGCATGGCAAAAATCTGATACAAACACTTGTAGGTACTTATTGCTGGGCATTTTTTAAAAATATTATCTTTATACTAATAATGTTAAACCGTGCCATTAGATCACAAAACAATAAATTGCAAGTATTTATTTATATTTTCTATGTAATCTTAATAAAGTTCATCAAAGATTTACCTTTTATGTGACAATTAACTTAATAACATGTAATAGATTGAATAGATTAAACATTTAATTTCGTTGTAAAATGTATAAACACGTATAACCACACTGCTTCAACCAACAAGAATACACTTGATGCTTGTTTACGAGAGCGAGTTCGCACATTGCTAAGATATAAATAGCTCGATTTCAAGATAACGATGCACTAGAACTGACCTCCGCAAGTAAAAGTGTACTGTTGTAAAATACATTCGAAAACGAATACGACAGAAATTTAAAACAATAACTTGGATATGATTTATATCAACTCCGGACTGCGGAAGGTCAAAAAAACTGGATCGCCAAAAATTTTTTGAAAGTAAATTACTCAAATAAGTTGAAATGAAAACTACTAATTAAGATTGGAATTGGAAACGGTCGTTTGTTCTAATTTGTATTACTAATAGATTACTATACTGAATTATTCGTTATTTCCATATGAACCATTAACCGTAGAGGTACCTGGTACCCGGTTATCAGGTACCCGGCAAAATCATTATCCGGTACATCTGTTTTAACTTAAAAAACTAGATTTGAGAAAGCCGACAACTTGGGTGATACCTATGTTGGTGATTGTTTTTTAATAAATAAATAACTTTAACACCATTCCCCTTTTTGACTTTGATTTTACAACAAGTACAAAAGCACTTACTAAAGAAATTGGTAAAAATTTCATTAGAAGTTCAACTTTCCAGCAACTACTTAACAACAAACAATAAGTCAATAGAATGTAAATTTCCTTGAGTACTTACCAAAGTATAATTTTCTGGTTTAGTTCTGAATTGCATGGAAAAGGCGATACTTCGTGTTTCTTGGCATTGTCCAAACTGGTGTAGTCTGTGATGTGATGAGTTGGAGGCATGTCGCTCCATCTCGTCAATTCTTCAGGAGTCACGATTTCGGGCGCAACTCCTAAAGGTTCTTCGTTTATCTTTATTTTCATTTATAAAGAATAACCTACGACAAAAAGAGAACACATTCATTCAAATATAAAATAACCTATTATTAGATAGACGTTTTATAAAAGGGTCTCATGCTAAATCCTGCAATCAATTCTGTCTGAGGGTGTGGGTACAAGACGGTACGGAAGGTACAATAACTGTACAGTATACAGTAATATGCACATTAGTTAGATTAGTTATACACCAGTGGCGAATTGAGAACCGAATGTATTACGTACAATCATCGAAGGACGACATGATCCATGATAAACATAATGTACTATAAGAAAATATTGGTACAAATGTGTTAGCGATGTTTCTATTCATTGAAGACATTGAGGAAAAATCTAAAATCCAAAAAATGCAATGAAAGAGGGAATACGAGGAAGTTGTCCACTAAGCGCTGCACTTTCTACCGTATCATTTGCAGATTTAAAAAAAAAATTAAGCGCAGTACAACAAGGCGGAATAGTAAGTAACTGGTAGAAGAAAAATCTGGTTCGGTTTCATATGCAGATGACATAGTATCTATTATTAGCGAACAGCGAAAGAGGGTTGAAAGAAATGATGCAGAAATTCAATAAATACATAAAAGAGAGATGGATGGAATTAAATACAGATATATCAAAATTTCAAAAGAAAAAAAAATTCGAGTGGGAAGGAAAAATAACCGAAGAAGTTACTACTTAGTTCAATTACCCAGGATTCGTATTGTAAAAAGATAATACATTCGATGGACACATAAAAAAGTGAGGAAGAATGCAATATGGGTAATGGGAAAGGTATGGGGAATGGGAGAAAGAAATCTCAAAGAAACAATGCTCCTATTCGAGTCATACTGGTATAGAGCATATTATTATATGGAGGGGAAATATAAGGGTGAGAAAAAAGAAAAGAAATTGATATTCTTAAGACAGATCCATAAGATGGATTTTAAAAATAGGTAGAAATTCACCGAAATATTTATTACAAGAAAAAACAAAAACAAAAAATTGGCCATAAAATATTAAAAGAAAAAGCACTAAGAAAAAGTGTTAAATTCAGAAGACAATACGTTAATAAAAGAATGCATAAAAGTTGAGGATAACATATCGAATATTCAAACCGAAGAAAATAAAATGAGAAGAAAATTATAGAAAAAGGAAAGAGGAAATTTTTTAATGGAAAGGTAATGGGCCATCACGCACTACAAATGGAAACTAGAAATAGATAGAAGTGTATGGAAAGAGCTGGAAAGTTTAACCGAAAACATTGATAAGCAAAAAAAAAATAGAAAAAAAAAGAAAAACTCAAAATTCGCAAAGGAATATAAGAAAATATGGAATGAAACGGAAGAAAAACCAAATTATTTGAAAGACGAAGAAGTAAAGAGTAAAAACGAATTAGTTTTAACATCAAAATTCAGACTAGGAAGTGAGAAAACGACGACAAGGTACTGGGAAGAAGAGAAGAAAATATGCAGACTGTAAAAACTTGAACTAGAGACGCTTGAACATATATTTGAGAAATGTTGAATAAATGGAAATAGTACAAGAAAAATGGAAATTTAAATGAAGGAAATGATGGCCTAAAAATAATGAGAGATATACTATGGAGAAAGAAAATAGCAGAAGATTCATATATCCAGAATACAAGTGCGTTTTGAATTAAACTGTCATGTCGATTATAAAACTTTTTATATCAGCAACGTGTTTAGGATACGTACATACGTATATAATTGTTTACATTTTAACACTCATGAGATATAAAATTATTGTTAAATGTAAGCCGGTTCATTGAACAGACAATTTTAATGAAATCGTTATGGCTATCATTATTGACAGGCGTGTTAAAAAATAATTAAAGATACAAACGGTCACCAACTTACAAATAAGCGAATAACAGCGTAAAATATAATCCAAGTGGGCTCACATTTAATATAACACATACTTTTTATGAAACTACTTTGAAAGAAACAACGGATTGAAGTTTTACGTATTCTTAACCCCCGCTAGATGCAACTGTTTTAATTTTATTACTGTGTTTGCGTTAACTGTGTTGGATTATAGGTGTTTCACTTTGAAATCCGTTTTATGAAAATGACCGTCACCATGAATAGAACGGCTCACCAGTGTGCATGTATGTATGTATGTCTACATGTGGGTGTATTTTGTTATTTCCTCTTTTTTATCGTGACCCAATTCCGGGACATTATATTAAGTGATTTTCAATAGGCTATTCTTGCAGTTTTGATTAAAATCGCGGGCTATTTTGTAGACTATTGATTGCAGTGAATATCCCAAACAAAAATTATTAATTTTCAAAGTAATTGAAAAACTAACTAAGATCCGTTATTGACTTAAATAAAACAGAATTACTAGTTGTTAAATCAATTAAGTTGTAAAGGTTTTTCAATTTTTCGACTACTCAAAAGTAGTAATTTTATGAGAACTCTAACTCGAATTTTCATTTCAATTTCGAATTCTCATTTCTCTAACTCGAGATTCAAGTGCAGTTTTTACACTATAAACTGTCTTTGACAACCAGTATTATCTTCCGAAAAACTACAAATTAATGAGGGAAAAATTGTTGCTGGTGTCACACCCCCGCCGGGAATCGAACCCCTAGTTTAGTGGTCAGAACATTGGTGCGTAAAGCCAAAGGTCTCGTGTTCGATTCCCGGCGGGGGTATGACAACAGCAACAATTTTTCCCTCATTTATTTGAGGTAGTTTGTAGTGGGTAAATAAAAAATCGAAAAAATGATTTCAAATTAATATTGGTTAGGTATGTTGCCTGACATATTAACTGTAACAGTGACAGTAATGTCTTTTAGAACAAAAAATAAAAAGTGTAATGATAAAACAAAAAATTTTTCTAAATTCGAACTTTCTCTAACTCTGACATAAATAGTTCCATTTGAATTAGGGAACTTTGACTATAATAGAAAACGAAAAGAACGACCACTGACGACCTTCTAAGATATGAAGGGCTAGTTAGAGACACAGTAGTAGAAACAGAAGTTATGAGGGGTAGAGGTTCACCTAGATTAGATTACTGTTTAGATGTGGGATGTTTTAGTTTTAGGAAAATACGAAGATTAGCTTAGGATAGGAAAGAGTGGAGGTGCGTGTCCAAGCAGTCATAAGACTGACGACCTTTTGATGATGAAGTTTTAGACTCGTGTGTACAACTGCACAATTTATTTTGGATGATGAAAATGTAATTTTTGAAAATATTAATGATGATTTCGTTTGACATAAAACTGATCAGTAATGACACATTGAACTTATATTTACACACAAAAATTTATTAATGGACTGAGGACGAATTCTGATCGTACTAAAAAAACAATTCACTATATTCAATCCGCACTATTTATAATCAGAAATTAACAATAATAAGTTCGAAATTTATCATATAGTTGATTTAATGCCTTCTTACGACGAATGACAACAACTGTTTTTTTACTTACAGCACTTAGTTTATTTTAAACAAACTAACTCGTGGAAGCCGACGGACAAGTACTCCCTTAAATACAAAAAACCCTTTGTACGCATGCTTGACCCCATACAATTTTATCAAATCACAAATCAAACATAGATAAGTAACGCTATCAGAAGGACTACAGATTAATAAAAATGTACTTATATATGTATATATGACGCTAATGCAAAATCAATACGCATTTATTTCAGGGAATAACATTTTAATACTACTTTTAGATCGTAGAATTGAAAAGAGAATAATCATCAAAATACCACATGCTTCGTTTTATTTTTGTCATTGTTCTACGTGTTACAAACGTTTTTTTTTTTTTCAAAAAAATATTTTCAAATTTGGTGATACCAAAACGATTGGAGAAAAATAAATTAATGCTATAAAGAACTCATCAAATTCAGGTGTGATTCTGGTTTGATTTAGAAAGGTGTTCATTCAAACAAGGATAAGGTTGTCATAGCGAAAGACGATTAGTCAAAGTCCAAACCAATTGTGTGTTTCCACATTTCTCTAACGATTTTTTGTTTAATCCTAGCGTAGACTGTCTCGAATAGTCCACGTCGAACACTATGTATGTTGAATTAGGATAAGTTAGGGTTAAGTTACGTTAGTACCTATCTTTTAAAATTTTCTATTAGACCTGCTAATCTGGCAAAACCACAACGGTTAATGGTTAATTTATGCGTTGGAGGAAAGATGGGTTCTCGAATTTTCGTAACTCTCACAACTATCGACACTATTTTCTTTAAATGTCATTGTTTCGTCGCCTTGTAAGGGCTCGTTTTCGGCAATATCCTGCTGATACTTATCAGTAGGGCAGAATAAAGCGGCACCACCAAAACTAATTAGCAGTGCATTTAGTTGAGATAAGAACGCATAGACGTTTAATTTGTGGAATTTTTATATTGAACTTACATCTACTATACACCTTGATTTACACTATATACATCTTCGCTTGTGACTCTTAATCTGTGTGAGTCTGAATCTCTTGAGTCTGTATGAGTCTTGTGAATCTGTGAGTCTGTCTGTCTTAGAAACTTAAAACTAAGACTTAAATAAACTTAAATATGCAAATAAAGGGGGTGGAGTGTAGGAGTCCCTTCCTAAATATTATGGATGACAAGCTTCATTGGTCATTACCATTGGGGGTGGCTCTGGTAGAGACAATAGTCCCAGATTTCACCATCTGACTCAGTTTCGAGTGAAAGTTTACATTTATGGGGCAATAAAATGAATCGCTTTGAGTCCTCGATGGACCTGCACATTACAAGACATGAATTTATGACAGCCTTCTTGCTGTCAACCCTGACCAATTTGTTTACCCTTTTTACTTCATGATTTATAACAGTGCCATCCATAACACTATTTTACGCATAGGCACAAAAGAAACCCTTCTCGAAATCGAAACAAAAGATTTTGATTCTTAAAGAAACTATTATTTCAAAAAAAGCAGACGTTAAAAAGAAACTGAATTTTGAGTAGAACGAATTGATGAATAGGACTCGAACAG